CAGTTGCGGACTTGCGGTATAAGTCAGAAAAATAATAGGCGAGTGTTTCTTGATTGAGAGCAAATGCAAAGAGTGAGCTTACAGCTATAGGCGAAGTGAAAAATATAACAAAAATGATTTGGTGTATATGACATATCTTTTTCACATGGGAGATGTGTTTTGATGCTTCAAGGAATCATATCACATGCTAATTGCTAAATAGATATAATATGACATGTGAACAGATAAAACAAATGAAGGAAAGTAAAGAAAAAAAAATTTCTTATCCCGATGGAACTTTCTGATTAACGGTGTCAGTCAAAGGGAGTTTCGTGCCTCCTGCCATGTTGCAAGTCGTTGTTAGTAGATGATTGCCAAGGCCCCACGGTGAGGCCACTAACAATCTACTGGACCTGCACACACGAAGAGACAAGCGTGAAGCTTAAGGGAAACACCGGGTTGACGTTTACTGTGGGCACTTCGACGCTCAAGTCAGCAAGGCTAAAAGAGGCTATTTAATAAGAATTAATGAAAAGAAGGATTACCAGGAGTTTTGTCGGAGACCAAGACTACGACAAAGGCATCAGGTTCTCAAGAGCAAGAACTTAGGAGCAAGTAGGTGGTTTTGAGTAGTGGAGAGTGAATGAATTGTGAGAGAGCAGGCCTCTGTTTATATAGTGAACCCAAAGGGTTGGAATCTTAGTAGGATACTAAGCCCTACTTTGGGAGGTAATCCCTATCAAGAAAGAAAAATGATTTTTTGTCCTTATCATATTAGATTTACTAGTTTGAGTAAGATTCAGGATCTTATCAGAAGAGGAAATAAAATAGGATTCTGATTTCGTAATTTATGGACTGTTGTAGGCTAACAAGCCGAAACCTAGTTTAGCTTAACTTGTAGAAAAGTCCAACTCATAGATTAGGCAGTTCACAAGGTGACTTTAAGCGTAGGCCTAATCAAAGTTCAATTAAGGTCTTAGGCTGTGACATGTTTATTTCGTTATTGGCCTCATCAGAGCCAAGATGATTTTTTGCCCATAAACTCGATTAAGTTTCGGATGCGTTTAAAAAAAGCAAGACCAGATCAAGAAAAAGTTGGTTTTTAAAACCCTGGTTAAAGCTCGAGTTTGGATGAAATAAGAAGGATAATATTAAAACGTAGTGTATTGACAATCCTTTATCTCATATATGTTAGTTTTTCTATTGAATGAATAAGCCAAATTGTTTATAGGAATGAATTTAAAAAAAAAAAAAAAAAAAAAGGGCCTGGGCCTTAAAAATAAGGCTCGAAAAGTGCTTGAGTCGGACCTCGATTATATTATATGAAATTTTATAAAATTACATATACCCTTTAAAAAATTATGGGTAACCCTTGAAAAACTACATTAAGACACCTTCTATAAAGTAATTATAGAAAACCCTAAAATGAACCTTCTTATTTCATCCAAACTCGAGCTCTAACCCTAGTATTAAAAACCAGCTTTTTCTTGATCTGAGCTCACATATTTTTTAATGCATTTTAAGCTTAACCGAGTACGGACTTATTTTTTTAAATGTATCCTAGACTTAACCTAGGCAAGCCCAACTTAGGTATTTACGCCCCTAATTTTCTAAGACCTCAATATCTTGAAAAAATTATAGTCTCCTAAGGGTTACCTATAAGTTTTTAAGGGATATTTGTAATTTGCCAAAGGATTATATGAAATTTTATACATAGTATAACCGGTCCAATCCAAGTACATTCAGAGCCTTACATTCAAGAACCTGGCCTAATGGCCAGATTAGGCCACGTTTCTTTTTTTTTTTTTTTTTTTTTTTTTTGGTATATCAATTCAATAATAGACTACAATTTTTGAGAAATAAGGCATTTGGCCATTTTTTTTTTCTTTTTTTTTTTTCTTTTTTACATTCCGATAAAAGACTTTGGTATATTAATTCAATAAAAAGACTAATATATATGAGATATATTGTGACATGTGTCTTTTTGGTGAGTCTCCACCATGTTTTCTTTCATTTGAATGGAAATTTTTTTGAAGTTATGTTAGTATGAGTTAAGACAGCAAATATTAGAATAGTCTCATATCTCCCAATTCTCTCTTTTCAGTCCTTTTGTTTACTTAATCTCTTACTGTGTTTTATTATTATACAACAAGATAAAGGATAATCAATCCACCATTTGCTAATGCTAACAGAATTTGGATTGTATTTTTCTTAAAATAAAATTACTTAAACCCACCCCCACCCCCACCCCCATGTATATCTATATTACAAAAAGCGTCTTGGATATTTAAAATTGTTTTCAACCCCTTATCAATAAAACCAAGTCCCTATCAACTCCAATACCTTATTTATCCCCAATTCCACTAAAATAAAAAATTAATAAATACAATTTACTTTTAATTCTATATGTTGAGGTGAAAAGTACTTTTCTATTAACAGAACTTTTCAGACTTTTGCAATGAGAGGATATAAATTACAAATGGTTTAATTGAAAGACATTTAACAATAATTTAGTATTAATTTTAACAGAAAATGATAAAAAGACTTAGATACTCTTGATTTTTTTTTTTCTTAAATTAAATTTTTTTACAAAACTAAAAAGTACCCAAAAAACCTATTTTTTAAGAAACCCAAAAAAATTAAAAATTAAAAGGAAATTTAATAAAAATGAAAAAATAGAAAATATTTGGAAAAAAAAAAAACTTTAAAAATTTCTTCTTCTTTTCAAAAAAAAATTAGTATTTACTACATACCTTATGATAAAAGTAAGTCAACTGATTACCAAAAAATAAGTAAATAATCCATGTTTAGCCAAGATTAATATTTTTGTTCTTTATAATCTTCATTGTTATTTATCAAATATAACAACCTTAAGACGCATAAATAATATAAAAGATCTAACTATCTTACCTCAATATATGATAAAAAAAACAATTTAGTAAATATTGATTTATTTAGAATATAGAAATTCTATTGACTCACTAACAGTTAACTAAAACTATTTTTGTCCTTAGGGGTCGATATCCTTTTAACTCTCAATAATATGAAATATTTTCATATTTAATAATCTTAATTCCCAAAATGTTAATGTTTTGTTTAAATGATAGATTTAACCATAAAATCACATTACTTAACTTAATTGTCATTAATAATATAACAAGAACAAAAATAATTGAAATACACTCGACTACCAACTCAAACAATATATAATATGGTCTAATATGTTTTAGTTGGACTATTAAACAAGACACTTAAATATTAGACTCATAGTCTAGTGTTATATATTAAAAATATATAATTTGTTGTTTCATTATAAGTAAATCATTCAATTTTATGACTAAATTTGTTCTTTAAATAAATTCTATACATTTTCGAAAAATACAATTATTGAGTTGATTATATATATCCAAACCCTAATAATATCATAACAAAGCCAAGAGTTGCACCGTAATTAAAAGGAGTTTTAATCACTGTTTTAAAAAACCTGCTATTAGTTAAAAAACTGTTTAAACCCACTATTAAACCGGATGAACATTGCGACCCGCCTGGTCGAACCGGACCGCTTGGTAAACTAGGTCAATGTTTAAAATGAAAAAAAAAAAAACCCTAAATCTAAGTTTTTTTCACGAGACTCCACTCCACTCCACTCTCTTCAATCTCTCAACTCTCTAAAATCGCAACTCCCTGCTCAAAGTAATTGCACTCGGTCTCAATTCAATCTCTCAACTCTACTCTCCCTTGGACCCTTGCTCAATGATGGCAGCACCTCCCTCGGTGGATTTCGACAACAATGCACCTCCCTTCTCCCTTGCTCGACGACGGCAGCACCTCCCTCGCTGGATTTCGACGACGACGCACCTCCCTTCTCCCTTGCTTGACGACGGTAGCACCTCCCTCACTTGATTTCGGTGACGACGCACCTCCATTCTCCCTTGCTCGACGATAGCAGCACCTCCCTCCCTGGATTTCGGCGGCAACGCACCTCCCTTCTCCTCTCTTGCTTGACGATGGCAGCACCTCCCTCACTAGATTTTGGCGACGACGCACCTCCCTTCTCCTCCCTTCTCCCTGGCTCGACGACGGCAACACCTCCCTCGCTGGATTTCGACAACGAAGCACCTCTCTTCTCCTCCCTTCTTCCTTGCTCGACGACAGCAACACCTCCCTCGTTGGATTTCGACAACGACGCACCTCCCTTCTCCCTTGCTTGACGACGACGGATGACGACGCCTCCCTCCTTTGCTGGAATCAACGAAGACAACACTTCTCTTATTCAAAATCGATGAAGACAACGCCTCTCTCTTTTGTAAAGATATTTCCACTATCTTTATTTGATGAATCTATTGCTTTGATGCATAATTTGCTCACTGAATTTGTATGTAAAAAACACTTGCACCAAATGTTTTATTATTAATTATTATGTATTTTATCATTTAATTTGTAATAAAAGAACACATCATGTTTGGACTTTGGAGACTTTGGATTGCAATTCAATCATATTGGGATTGTTATTGAGTTTGAATTGGGTAGTAATTAAGCTGGTATTCTTATTGAAAATCTGAAATTTTTCAAAAAAACATATTTTTTTTTTGCAATGCTAACGTCACCGGTCTAACCGATTGGACCAATTGACCCGTGACCCGGACAGTGAAGCGAGTTGCCCTCCGATTCAGGTTTTAAAACAATGGTTTTAATCTCGACCCTCCTAATGTTTAATCAAATTAAAAAAAAAAAAAAAAAAAACTCTTGAAATTTAAAAAATGACATAAAATCATTTATCATTAGTGAGCAGTTGGAATTTATGAATTTATAATATGATAAAATAAAACATATTTATCTAATTACCCCTCTTACCATTTATTTTAACACCAAACACTTAATATAGAATAATTATTTAATTACAACTAACCACAAGGGGTTTATTGTTATTTAATTATACCTAGTGAGATTATTGTTATTAACCCTAACTGAATTACTGGAATGAAAAAAATAAAGAAAGAATAAAGCACAAGAATAGCAGAGGAAAATTACTAGCTCTGTAATTTGAGTAACCTTGGCTGATGTAATAGTAATAACAAATAGTGATACAATTAACAATTAACAATTCCCCCCAAAATGATCAAATTTAACCATCAAACTATGCCTTTGTTTTTGTTCTTTTGATCGGGGAAAATAAAATGGTTCCATCTTCAACCCAAAAAAGAACTACACAAATAAGGGAACAAAACAGAAATGGTTCTATTTGTCACACACTTTGTATATATAGTGTGCCTCTACAAAACTTGTGGTTAAATACAATTCTTTTGCGAAACATATGAATGTGATATACCCTTCAGCCTGGGGGTAATCAGAACACCTGCCAAAAAAAAAAAAAAAAAAAAAAAAAAAAAAAAAAAAAAAAAAAAAAAAAAAAAAAAAAAAAAAAAAAAAAATTCAACCATTAGTAATCCATACTCAAATCTTGCTTCGTAATTTAGTTTCGGGTAGAAAGATGCTTCAGTAATTAGCTATGAAAGCAAAAAGATGACGAGAATCACAATATCGTTTCACACAGATGATAGTCAAATAGTTTGGGATCGGTGTACAACAAGTACTGTGTTGAAGATTATTTTCAGAATATGTGGATGAAAATTAGAGGGAAATAAAAAAGGAATGAACATGCCGTCAATCGTGACAATATCAATGAATTAGTCACCAAATTCTAATGTTCGATAGTTCTCAAACCCAAGCGATTGTTAAGACTTGAAATAACCAAAGATCATAGATGTGTACGTCGATACACAAGGGCATGGTTTAGTAACAGTGCTTTAGAAAAATGATTTCACAAAAGTGTGATACTATTGAATTGGAAAGCAGACCACTGAGTTTCAGAATATGAAAGCATCATAATAAGTTCCGCTTATTGAGAAAGATTCTCGTTTTGTGTATACTTCTGTTGTGAATTTGTGAAGGTATAAAAAGAAATGCAAGCAACAGATACATACTTTTGAACAATCAAAGAATAAATGTACCTCAAATTAACTCTACATGGAAAGTGCATAGGCAGAGAATTGGTTCTGACATCCCCTTTTGTTCCCTCCAAAATCTGGTTAGCCTTCATCAAAGAAGCAATCAATTTTCTACTCTACAACAAAATTTGTCAGCTAGCTTCAGCTCCAAATCTTTGCGCCAAGAATTCATCAAGTTGTCCCCAATTAGGGACACCAGAATCACTTGAAATATCAGAAGGCAATGATCGAATGCATCCTAGAATATGTTTGATATCGCGATGCAGCCTGGTACATGAATAAAAAAAAAAAAACATAAAATAAAAAATTGCTACCAACACAAATATCTAAAACTAATTCCCAATTCAGGAACAGAATATTTCTGATAGAAAACAGTGGGCATATTACCTTCCCTTTGCTTGTGGAGTGTTGATCTCTAAGCGCAAAAATGATTCTGAAATTTGTGAATGGAAGATTACAACTACTTGCCTGCAGAAAAGTATTCCATATAATTAAATATCAGAAATTATTTTCTCTCATTGATTATCTACAAAGAAGAAATAATCACAATGTACCAAAAGGAAAGGGAAGAAGAAAGAGGGTTCTCATCCAGTAGAATTCATCATAAATATTGCATGCATTACAAAAACTAATCACTTGGAAGCAATATAGACACTGATATTGCAAATACAATGACGACTTTGTCAAGTTATTATGTGAACACCACACCATTACTAATCAAAGATAGGATAATACCTCAAATTTTGTTTTTCATGAGAATTAAAACTCAATTTCTCTTAAAGTGAAAGCATCAGTCAAATAAAGAGAAATTCTGGAATTCTTAGGGCATGTTTGATATAGAATTTAAATGCAATTTTTAGTTTTTCAAANATTTGCATCAGCATAACATTCAACTTGCATAGAGCTTACTGGTTGGAATAACAACCCATGATTTAAGGTACCTTTAATATACCTAAGAACCCTTTTACATGCTTGCCACTGCAGGTCTGTTAGAGCTTCCAAAAACTGGATGAGTTTGTTCACAGTGAAGCAAATATCTGGTCTTGTAAAAGTGAAGTACTAGAGAGCTCATACAATGCTCCTGTATAATGTAGGATTCTAGAAAGACTCATTGTCAATAGAGAATAGTTTGGTCCCTATAGCCATTGGTGTAGAATTAAGCATGTGCCTCTGTCATGTTGGTTTTAGCAAGAAGATCAGAAGCATATTTGATCTATTTCAAATGAATCCCAGCTTATGTTCTGGTAGCTTCTGTAAGTTATTTGTCAACTTATGAATCTAGTGTGGTAACTCTAAGTCGTGGTATGAACACCTCACTTTGTCTTTAGCACAATTGTTTTGTTTAAATTCTGGAAAGACTCACTATCAATAGAGAATAGTTTGGTCCCTACAACCATTGCTGTAGAATAAGCATGTGCCTCTGTCATGTTGGTTTTAGCAAGAAGATCAAAAGCATATTATGTCTGTTTCAAATGAATCCCAGTTGTTGTTCTGGAAGCTTCTGTAAGTTATTTATCAACTTATGAATCTAGTGTGGTAACTCTGAGTCATAGTATGAACACCTCACTTTGTCTTTACCACAATCGTTTTGTTTAAATTTTTAATGTGACCACCTTGTGTTAAAGTGGCCACCTTTTATCAAGTTGTTTATCTGCTATCGGGTGAGCACCTCTAAGTCAAAGTGATCACAATGCATCTGCAATGTATTTTGGTTTACACATATTGTATTTCTAAATTCCGATGAGCTGTTATTATTCTCTTATGGGATATTTATGTGGTCCATAACACTTGTCAAATTGATATTCAATGTGCTGGAAAGTTTATTCTCTTTGATTGGTGGCATCAAGATAATGGAATAAACTTTTTATAAAGTTGAAATCCATAAAGTTCTTGTTAGCCACCTGTCCTTTGCATTGGCTGGTTTTTGCTTATATAAACTCTTCTCCAATGCAATTGTTCTTTAAGCCTGATATTTTCCTTGAAAAGTGTGATAAAATATTCTATTGTAGTTTATTCAAATAATCAAATAAAATAATAGTACACCCTATATAAATTTTCACTACTTTATATTTACACATATACCCCTAACTCTATACACATAACTTCTATCACTCCCTCTCAAGCTAGAGCATATATATATCTATCATGCCTAGCTTGTTACAAATATAGGTTACCCTTTTTCCAACTAGAGATTTAGTAAAGAAATCAACTAGTTGTTCCCTTGTTCTAACATGCTTAGTGGAAATTAATTTCTGTTCAAGTTTCTCTCGCACAAAATGACAATCAACTTCTATATGCTTTGTTCGCTCATGAAAAACTGGATTGTTGCTATATGTATGGCTGCTTGGTTATCACACCACAAGTCCATAATCCTTGGATCACCAATTCCAACTTCTATAAGGAGATATCTTGTCCATATAAGCTCACAAGTTACTTATGCCATAGCTCGGTACTCAGATTTTGCACTTGATCTAGCTACAACAATTTGTTTCTTACTTTTCCAAGAAATAAGATTCCTTCCAACAAAAACACAAAATCCAGTCACAGAATGCTTGTCTCCAGATGATCCTGCCCAATCTGCATCTGAAAATCCTTCTTCTTTACTATGGCCATGATTACTATAAAGGATCCCACGTCCAGGAGCCCCCTTGAGATATTTCAGAATATGAAGAAATGCATCCCAATGAAGTTTCCTAGGAGATGACATAAACTGACTTACCACACTCATTGAGAAAGCAATATCTGGACAAGTTACTGTAAGATAATTCAACTTGCTAACTATTCATCTATATCGCTCTGGATCATCAAACACCTCTCCGTCCTCAGCATTCAATTTTACATTAGGAACCATAGGAGTATCATAAGGCTTGGTTCTAATTAGACCTGTTTCAGTCAATAAATCTAACACATACTTGCGTTGAGACAAGACAATCCCTCTCATACTTCGAGAAACCTCAACTTCTAAAAAATACTTTAAAAGGCCTAAGTCTTTCATGTGAAATTTGGAAGCCAAAAAGATTTTCAAACTATGAGTACCAACACTATTACTACTAGTGATTACAATGTCATCAACATAAACAACAAGGAGGAGAATACTAGAACTAGATTGCCTATAGAAGACAAAATAATCATAAGCACTTCTGTGCAAACCAAATTCAATCACTACATCACTAAATCTCCCAAACCAAGCACGCGGAGATTGTTTCAAACCATATAAAGATTTCCTCAGTTTGCATACCTGTCCAGACTCCTCTTGAGCAACAAACCCTAGTGGTTGCTCCATGTAAACCTCCTCAGGAAGATCACCATGAAGAAAGGCATTCTAGACATCAAGTTGGTGAAGGGGCCAACCATAGGAAGCTACAAGAGAAATAAATAACCGAACTGAGTTCATCTTAGCAATAGGAGAAAATGTCTCCGAATAATCAATACTATATGTTTGAGCATAACCCTTAGCAACCAACTGATCTTTCAACTGGGCTACAGACCCATCAGGATTAACCTTCACCATGAAAACCCACTTACACCCAATGGCCTTTTTGTCACCAGGTAAATCAACGAGATCCCATGTACTATTATGCTCAAGAGCCAACATCTCTTCTTTCATGGCCCTTTGCCATCCATTATGAGCAACTGCTTCAGACACTAAACGAGGAACAGACATGAAATCTAAAGAGGCAACAAACGACTTGGAAGATAGAGACAATGATTTATAAGAAACAAAAGAGAAAATAAGATAAGTATAAGAGTGCTTACCTTTACGTAGAGTAATGGGAAGATTTAGGTCAGAAAAAGGAAGAGTTGGATTCGGGGGCGAGGCAGGCAGTAAGGGCAATGTCTCATGTGTCTCAGATGTCGATATTGGTGCTAGTGCCGATGCCACTTGCTGCGGTGGAGGGCGGCGAGAGTATATTTGAGTGACAAGAGGACGAAACAGGGGTGGAGAACTATAGTGAGTAGTGGTATAGATAAGAAAATCATCAGTGACCAGAGAAGAAGATAGAATGGAATCATCAACATAAGGGGTAGTTTCGAAGAATGAAACATCAGCTGAGACAATATACTTACCTAAAGTAGGAAAAAACAACGATAGCCCTTTTGATATCATGTGTAACCCAAGAATATACACTTGAGGGATCTAGGGTCTAATTTGGAAAGATGAAGGCAAATGTCTTGAACAAAGCAAGTACACCCAAATATTTTGGGAGCAATAGGGAACAAAGGTTGAGAAGGAAAAAGAATATAGTAAGGTATTTGACCAGACAGAATAGATGAAGGCATACGATTAATTAAGTAACAGGCAGTAGAAACAACATCTGCCTAAAACTCTTTACAGACTTTCATATGAAAGAGAAGTGTACAAGCAGTCTCTAACAAATGATGATTTTTTTGTTCAGAAACTCCATTTTGCTAAGGCGTATACACATAAGACGATTGGTGAATAATATCCCTGGTGGACAAAAAAAAAAAAAAAAAAAAAAAAAAAAGAGAAGTAGAAAAATATTTTTTAGCATTATCACTTCACAAAATTTTGATAGATTAAGCAAATTGGTTTTGTATCTTAGCATAAAAGACACAAAATATAGAGAATAATTCAAAACGATTTTTCATAAAATATAGCCATGTAACACGTGAAAAATCATCCACAAAAGTAACAAAATATTTATAACCAGATTTAGATAAAACATGACAAGGACCTCAAATGTCAGAATGTATAACATTAAAAGGAGCAATAGTTCGTTTATTTGTTCTAGGACTAAAAGACACTCGATGGTATTTCCCAAATTGAAACGCTTCACAGTTAAGCTATGACATTAACTGTAAACTAGGACATAAATTCTTTAGGATTGGAAGAGGAGGATGACCAAAACGACCATGGAAGAGAGAGAAGGACAAATCACTGGTACATGCAACATGTGGCAGCACTGGAGTAGAGATGTCATCAAGCACGTACAAGCCACCTGAAACACAGCCCTTACTAATAATTTGCTTTGTCCCGAGATCCTGAAAGATACAATAAGTAGGGAAAAAATAAAGACCACAATTAAACGCAGTAGTGATTTGACTAACAGATAAAAGATTAAAAGGAAAGTGAGAAAGACATAAAACAGAGGAGAGAGACATAGATTTGGTAGGATTATCAATACCACAACCCATAATCGGTACAGTAGACCCATTAGATAAAGCAATAGAAGACAAATCAAAAGAATGTGTAAATGAGGAGAGAATACCTGTATCACCTATCATATGGTGCGTAGCACCAGAATCAATGACCCAGTTATGACTAGAAGTAGATACACAAGCTATTGGATTACCTAGCTGAGTTAATGTAGCAAAAGTTGACGAAATGGATGACTGGGGGCTAGCAAGTTGAGTGAGGCAAGCATACTCATCTGCAAACATAGTAACCTATGAAGGAATAGGTAAAATACCATCTTGAGCAGCAACATGAGCATATTTCTGATTGCTCGACATAGTTGGAGGCTTTCCATGTAATTTCCAACAATTTCTTTTGACATGACCTTCA